CGCCCTAGAAATCTTGATAGACACACTAGGTAGATTTGAATAATAAAATGGAAGTCAACTAAAGAATCAAATCCACAGAGAAATAGGAAGGTAAAAAAAAATGTGATGCGTTAAATTAAAAACACAAAGATAGGGGCCGGGGAGATGGCTCGGTGGAATGAGCGCTTCCCTAGCAAGTGCAAGAGTCTGAGTTCAATCCCTGGTTCCACAAAAAAAAAAAAAAATCACTTTCCTAAAAACACAAAGATAGAAAAAGTTCTCTCAAGCTGGGCATGGTATTGCATTCCTATCATCCCAGCATTCAGGAGGCTGAGGCAGGAGAATCCTTATGAGTTTGAGACCAATCTGGGCTACAAAGTGAGTTCAAGGCCAGCCCAAACTGCATAGTGAGACCCTGTCTCAAAAAGACAAATAATACCCAGGCCCCACCCCCAGGTGCGCAGAGCCAGTGATGGAGTCTGGGTGTGGTGGCGCACCTATAATCCCAGCACTTGAGAGGCAGAAATCAGGAGGATCACTACTAATGTGGGCTGTGTAGTGAGACCCTGCACACATACAAAAAAAAAGAAAAGTAAGACAGTAATTTCTAGTTTAAATCTGTCTAGAACTCCAGGAGAGTCAAGATTATACAGGTAAGATTTTTTGTTTTCAAAGAAATAATGGGGGCTGGCAAGATAGCTCAGCAAACTGAAGTGCCTGCTTAGGCAAGCTTAGGCAAGCGCTGGGACCGTGGTTCAATCCAGGTACCACATGCTGCACTAGCCCTGCCCCCAGGGCAGGCTGAGCCAGCCACAAAAAAAAAAAGCTTTCCAAACTGATAGGACATAAACCTACAGATTACTATGAATAATAAGAATAAATGAAAAGACCTAGGAAAGATAGCTCAGTAACATAAGCACCTGCCCGACAAACACAAGGTCCTGAGTCCAATCCCTAGTACAAAAAAAAAAAAAAAAAAAATGAAAAGAAATCTATATTAAAACTGAGAGGGGCCAGGGAGATGGCTCAGTGGAATAAGCACTTCCCTGGCAAGCGCAAGGGCCTGAGTTCAATCCCTGGTTCCGCAAAAAAAAAATAAAATAAATAAACAGAAGTTAAAAGACACATATTAAAGTCAATTGTATTAGTTTCATGAACTGGATGGCTTGAAACAATAGAAATCATAGTCAGACTGTTGTAGGACTTGAGATGTAGCTCAATGCTTGGCATGTAGGAAGCCCTAGATTTGATCCCCAGCACTATAGGCTAGAAGTGCAAAAAACTTTTTAAGGGCTTAGATATTACAGATTAGCTCTACAAAAAGGGTGAGAAAGAATGCCCGACTCATTTAACAATGTTCATTAAAATATTAATGCCAAAACCACACAAAGATAATGCAAGAATATTAAATTGTAAAGCAATTACAACAAAAGGTACAGAATTTAACAGTACTCTTTTTTTAATGTAATCTTTATTTGATACAGGGTCTTGCTACATAGTTTGTTTATTTATTTTTTGGCAGAACCAGGGATTGAACTCAGACCCGCAAGCACTTATTCTACCGAGCCATCGCCCTGGCCCCTATATGTAGTTTAAACTTGTAGTAATCCTCCTGTCCCAGTTTCCCCAGCACTGGGATTACAGGCATGCACCACCACGCCGGGTTTTGGTGCCTTACATGGCATGCCTGAGTTCCAGGCCAGTTCCGAGTTCCATTGGCATGCAGTACCTGAGACCACTGAACTGTCTCCCCAACCCTCAACAGTGTACTTCAAAGATAGTCCACATGTGATCCCAGCTACTCAGGGCTGAGGTAGGAGGATCATGAGTTTAAGGCTACCCTGGACTTGGTGAGACCCTGGATAAAGAAAGAAGAAAGGAGGAGAAGGAAAAAGGAACAAGGTGAAATGAGATTGGGGATGGAATTCAGTGGTAAGAAAGCTTGCCTGCCATGCACAAGCCTAGAGTTTAATCCCTAGCACTATGGGTGTGGACAAATTGTTATTCACAGTGATAGGATTGTCATCATTAAAGTTTTCTTGTTTTGTGGCATGAAACCCAGTTTTATGCATGCTAGCCAGATGCTATAACCCTGAACAACATCGCCAGCCCTTTTTTAAATTGATACAAGGACTCAGTATGTTGCCCAGGCTGACCTCAATCTCTCAATCTTCCTACCTCAGTCTCTAGAGTAGGTGGTGTCACGGGCACACCCCACCATGCCCAGCTTCCCATACAGTTTTCCACATAAAATAATATAGATGGGTTAAAAAAAAACAAATCTAACTAAATATTAATCAAATAATAAGTTATCTAGAAACAAGATATATTTTAAAAAACAAAAGGTATGCTGTATCTTCCTTAGAAAATATAATCATTAAAAAAATACCCAAAGATACCCTGATAGGGCCCGGAGAGATAGCTCAGTAGAATAAACGCTTGCCTGGCAAGCACAGGGTCCTGAGTTCAATCCCCAGTATGAAAAAAAAAAAAAAAAGATACCCAGATAAAAAGATGTACTAATGACTCATAAATGTATACAAGCCAGGTATGATGTTACATGCCTAGAATCCCAATAACCAGAGGCTTAAGCAGAAGGATCATGACTATATAGCAATTCAAGGCCAACCTGCAATACATAGTGAGATCATATATTTTCAATACAAAGCAAAACAAACAACATGACAAGATACCTTAAGATAAACAATGCAAACTGAAACTACACAAAGCCAGGCTTGATGGTGCATTCCTATAATCCCAGAACTCAGGAGGCTGAGACAGGAGGATTACCATGAGTTTGAAGCCACCCTACACTACATAGTGAAACCCTGTCTCAAATAAAACAAAAAAATTATTTCTCATCAAATTGGCAAAAAAAAATATGAAAGCTTGACAACAGACAGTAAAGCCTGAAGAAACAGACACTTCCACATTGCTGGGAGATTATGGAGTAATACAATTTCTCTGAAAGGTTTTAAGGCATTATCTAACAAAACTACATATGCATGTACCCTAGTTTTAGCAAGTAACTTGTTTCTAAAAAGTAGCATGCTAATTAAACGTTACTGGGCTCTAGACAGCTCACCTCTCCTTTTTTAAAAAAAATTTTTTTAATTTATCTAAAGAACTACATGTGATTTAATACTCATGAACTTCACTTTAATGAGGCTGTCTTCAAAGTAGACTTTTTATTTATTTATTTATTTATTTTAGCGGAACTGGGAATTGAACTCAGGCCCTTGCACTTGCCAGGGAAGCACTTGTTCCACTGAGCCATCTACCTGGCCCCAAGGTAGACCTTTTCAAAAGAACTGATGCTGGGCTGGCAAGATAGCTCAATGGACTAAGTGCCTCCTTAGGCAAGCCCAGGGCCAGGGTTCAGTCCCAGGCACCACAGGCCCCACCGACCCCACCCCCGGGTGCACTGAGCAGGCCACTGAATCCGGGAATGGTGGCGCACTCCTGTAATCCCAGCGTACAGGAGGCTGAAAACAGGAGGATCACTGTGAGTCCCAGTTGTGTAGTGAGACCTTGTACCAAATACATTTTAAAAAATAATTGATGCTTAATCCAGTCATTCTATCTGCCTTGGCATAATTCTTCTCTCTACTTGAATTATGGACAATGACAACTTCAAAACTGTTATGGTCTTATATCCAATTTCTTCTGGCAATTTACGTTTTTGGAGCCTAGAATTTGAATTGTACATAGTATTGGTATCTTGACACATGACCCTTATTCCTTAATCATTCATTTCTATTATTGAAAGTCAACATTTTTCAGTAAATATTAGGCAAAATGTTACAGGCCTCATTGTCACCACTGTGAATGTTTACTGCGATGAAAACATGACCTATGTCTCAATTTTGGCCACATTGACCAATTCTGGACACCAATCAATATTTCATCCTGATTCAAAATGTTGCCTACTCGAGTTGGATTCCAGGTTCTTGCTTGGTACAAAAATTTGAACAAAACAAGCAAAAAAAAAAAAAAAAAAAAAAAAAAAAAAACCAGTGGCAAAGTTTATTGAAGAAAGTAAAAGGGAAGAGTGGGAGAGAAACTGGCTTTGCAGAGTGAGCTTGAGTCATGTAAAGAAGAGCAAAATAGGGCAAGAGCAGAGACAAAAGCACATGCTGCATCTGAGAAATAGACGTGGGTTATCATAAAAGGTTATTGCACTGGCTCACTGTGGCTGCCTTGATTTTATATTGTCCAAATCTTGAGGAAACCTGTGAGATCCTGTATCTCATGCTGACATTGGGTTCAGGTCATTCCATTGAGAACCTGCCCCACTTCTTGAGAAAAGTCCACAAGCAGGGCCTTGGGAACAGTTCTGTGCATGTGTCTGAGATATTGTAATTAACCGATCACACCTAATTTCCCACACAGTTTTTGACAAGTCCTAATCTCACTAGAACTCACCCGTCCCATTTCTGTAGCTATGTTTGTTGGGTCTCCATCACTGTAACAAAAGACCTGAAATAATAACTTAGAAAAGGTTTATTTTGTTTCATTCTTTTTTTTTTAATTTTATTTATTTATTTATGTGTGTGTGTGTGTGTGTGTGTGTGGCCAGCTCAGCCCACCAGGGGGCGGCACTGGCTGGCATGTGGCGCTGGGGGATTGAACCGTGGTCCCTGTGCTTTGCTAAGCTTGTTCTAAGTAGGTGCTTTAGACCACTGAGCCATCTCACCAGCCCCTTTGTTTCATTCTTTTAGAGAATGATTGCGTGGCCTCTGGCTTGGGTGTTAGATGGTAATGTTGCAGACCATGAGGCAGAGAAAAGCTGCTCCACTGATGCCTAGGAAGCAAAAGGAGGAAGAAGCTAGGGTCCCACTACACCCCTGCTTTTTTTTTTTTTTTTCTTCTTTTTTCAGGGTAAAGAACAAACACAGTCCCCCATGACTACGAATTATGTAGTCAAGTTTCCCACATTTGGGGAATCACAGGGGTCAGCACATCTGGAGTGCAATGGATGAGCCTCACCCTGAGAAAACCACCATTGTGATCAGAGTATCTCCCCCGCCAGGTAAGGATCCACGATCCCCTTTCAGGGTACACCCCCAGTGACCTAAGCACCTCCCACCAGGCCTATGTCTTAAGGGTTTCACCCCTGCCTAGGAGTACCACCCTGGGGAACAAGCCACTGACACATGGGCAGTTAGACACGAGCCTGGATTCAGAAGGCCGTTGGTGAGTCATCAGCAGGATGAGGACGATTGTTCTCTACCTATTATAGCAAGTTTGGTGGCTGAAAACAACCACAGTAGTTCATCATTTTGTGGATTGGAATTTTGAGCCTGTCACACCTGTGCAATTGCTCTTTCTACATGCTTCACCTGCAGTCTGTCCATCATATTCGGATGCCACATGAGCTGATGTACATGACCCCAGGTCTCTATTTTCAGTTCTGGCAGCAGGAATAGTTGGAAGTCTGGGCTTAACTGAAACTTTTGACCATCATGCCTACATGCCTACATATGGCTTCTATAGCACAGCTTCTTCTTTTAAAAATAATATTTTATTTATTTATTTGGTACAGGGTCTTGCTACACAGCTCACACTCGTAGTGATCCTTCTGCCTCAGCCTCCCCAGTGCTGGGATTACAGGTGTGTGCCACCACGCCCATTTTTAATGGTCAGCTCTGCACTGGGCTGGCACAGCATGTGGCACTGGGGATTGAACTTGGGTCCTTGTGCTTGCCAGGCAGGCACTTGGACTCCTGAGCCTTCTCCATGGCCCAGCACAGCTTCTTAAATGGCTGCTGATGGCTCTTAGCATATTCAAGAAATAGACAGTAGGAACTTAATTTCTTAAGACTCAAAATCTGCTACCTTCGCATCTCTGCCCAAGGGAACACAGAATCCCATTTCTAAAAGAATGCCAAAGCATTAAGGATGAGAGGACCAATGGTGTGACTGTAGACAAAGAAATGTAATTTCTATGCTTGGTTCACTCTCCTATAATCCCAGCTTGTTAGGAAGCTGAAGCAGGAGGATCACTAATTCAAGGCCCATCTGGGGAAATTAGCAAGAACATGTGTCAATAAATAAAGATGCCTGGAGGTACGCTCAGGGGTAGAGTGGCCTTGGGTTTGATTCTTAGTAGCTCAAAAAAAAAAAAAAAAAAAAAAAGTCATCCCAGCACTGAAACTTCTGTTTACAGACCAGTAAGTTAAAGATCCAGCAATTTCTGGATGAAGTGGTCCTCACCTGTAATTCCAGAACTCAGAAGGCAGAGGCAGAAGGATCACTGTGAGTTTGAGACCATGCTACATAATGAGTTCAAAGCCAGTCTCAACTACATAGGGAGACCTTGTCTCAGAAAACCAAAAGAAGAAAGAAGAAGAGGAAGAGGTGGGGGAGGAGAAGGAGAAACAGAGGCTGAGGACTATGTATCATATACTCTGATAAGCTAGTAACATAAAGATCTAGAATTTACATTGGATTTAGTGATATAGCTATCACTTGGGATGCCAAGGGCAGTCTGGGCAGTTGGATTAAATTTTTGATGGGTTCAAAAAAGAATGGGTTGGGAAAAATAAAGACTGGGTTTTAGCAATTAGAGAATTTTGCTATACATAGGAATGGGGCCATGAGCTGTAGTTCAGTGATACAGCACTGCCCAACATGTATAAAGATATGGGGTCAATATGTAGATACATACACAGACACTCAAAGGAGCAAGGAAGTGTACAAGGAGCTCCTGAAAGAAGCGAGGTCAACAAGGGTCCGTGCTGTACTTTTTTTTTTCCTAGATCTTTATGCTTTTATTTACTTATTTATTTATTTATTTATTTATTTTTGCAGAACCGGGTATTGAACTCAGGCCCTTGCACTTGTCAGGCAAGCGCTTATTCTACTGAGCCATCTCCCCGGCCCCCAAGATCTTTATGTTTTTGAGACAGGGTCTTGCTATGAATTTCAGGCTGGCCTCAAGTTCACTCATCGTGTAACCCAGGCTGGCCTTGAACTTGTAGTCATCCTTCTGCCTAGCCTCTACAGTGCTGGGATGACAGGCATGCACCACCACGCCCGGCTCCCATGGCCTGCGTTACTCATGTGCTCAAATACCTTCTCATATCATTCACTTCTGGTCATCTCTAGTCAGAACTTGTAGGTGAAAGAATAGTCTTTTACTTAATAGTTGTCTTTTATTCACCTGTTTTAGTTGAATAATAAGACTTGTGTTAAGTGTCTCTTAAAGCATTTAAATTCCAAAATGCATGCCAGAGCTGGTGGCGCACACCTGTAATCCCAGCCCTTGGGAGACTAAGGCAACAGGATCACTGCAAGTTCGAGGCCTTCCTGGACTACATATTGAGTTTGAGGCCAGCCTGAATTACAAAATGAAACCCTGTCAGGAAGAAGAAAAAAAAAACTAAATAAGTAACTTCCAAATTGCAAAGAGGAACATCATAATGTATATAATGTGTTTCGGTAATTGATTATACATATATACAACTCATTTGAACCATTTGGAGTTTTGGCTATGTGATTAATGTTCATATCAGGGAGTTGGAAAAGAATTTGCCACAGTAAGGCTTACAATTGTAGTTTTATGTCAAACTGTATAACTATAAATACTGGAAGGCAATATAGCAATATAGTATGAGGAAGGGCTCTGGAGCAGGACTGCCTGGGTTCAGACCTCTCCGTGCCTCAATTCTTACCTGGAATGGAGATAATAACTAGCCCATGTAGGTGCACGAACACAGTCTCTTGCTCCAGGGTCTGAGACAAGAGAATCTCTTCAGCCCAAGAATTCAAGGCTAGTCTGGACAGCAAGCCTCGACTTCATCTAAAAAACAATCACAGTTAAAAAAAAAAAAAAAGTAATTTATAATGTTAATACAAAGAATAAATGAGAAAAATATATGTAAAGTGATTAAAATAATAATCATTTTCCTGGCATGGTGGCACGTGCTCATAATTCTAAGACGATGGAGGCACACCTACAGCGCATGTGCTCCAGCAGGCTGTTTATATCACTGAAAGCTCCAAAAGGTTCACCATCACTGTTCTAGGACTTTGGAGGCTGAGACTGGAGGATCATACATTTTAGGACAGCCTGAACTACACAGCAGGACCCTAGGTCAAGAAAACAAAGATATAGTAATCACTTAGTATGTAGTAAATACTTGGGGACTGGGGAGATGGCTCAGTGGAATTAGC